GAAACTTTGTGTACACTTAATGTTAGCTTTCCAAACAACAAGCTGCATTTTTAGCAGTAGCTCACTAATTTGTCTCTAGGGAAAGTATGTTGTAACCTGATACTTCAGGAAATAGTTGTGTAGTGAAAAGAAACTTTACATAATTTTGTTCATACCGCAATGTCTTCTCACCAGGAAGGTAGGATGTGTTTCTAGAAAAAATGTTTAGTTTAGCATCAGTGATAAAACTACAATTAATTACTTACTTCAAATTACATGTAAGTTGTGGCTGTTATTTAATAAGATTATCTTCCATGCTTACAATAATTAATATACACAATGTTATTACTAACTTACATGTATGAAAAGTTAAAATGTAGTACTAATAAGGGTTCCAAAACTGATGCATTTTTGACACAAATATTTATTGAAAACGGTTTACTTAGACGATATAGAACTTACTAAAATAATAGTTACTGTAGCAAGAAATGTTGCAATTTTGAAACTGATATTCAACCTAAAAGTGAAATGTAGACTTTTCCGTTTATTATTGAGTCAGCAGATGTGATTTACTGTCAAGATTTATGTATGTTATCAGATATTAACAGAATGTTTGAAAAGGTCAGACCATTATTGTTTAATATTGCAGTTGTCCTCTTGGAATGATTGTGATGATTTCAACTGTACTCTAGAGATTCTGAAGAGTTTAAATCATTGTTTAGAGCAGAGAAAGCCTTTTATTTGGAGTTTATTTTATCATAATTGGCAGTTTACAGTTGATTTTAGACCTCCAAAGTGAGCGGGCTTTTTTTTTGAAATTCTTGTGTTGTCAAAGAAATAGCATTCTTCATGTAAAAGTTATTATGGACAAATTTTGAACTCTCTGAGAATACTTGTGATCTATTTCTCCGACATATTGAGCTTGTCTGGTATTTGGAAAACTGGAAATATTCATTATTCTCTTAAGTTTGAATTGTTGTGGCCAGAAAAAGAATCACTAATTTGGCTTTCTTAATTGACCCCAAAAAAATTCGTAAAAAATAGAGTTCTGCTGATTCAAGTATCCAAACATTACAACCTTGAAATCAGCCCAACTAAGTATGAAAATTTGTACTGGAAGCACTTTTCTTTGCATCCTGAAGACTTGGTGACTCATACAGGAGCCTGGGAGATTCAGTCTGTAGTTTGTTTTAGTACAAATCTTGATTCAAACACAATGAAGAATTTGCTAGATCTCTCATCAACTTTAATTAATACTAACAACGAACCGGAGGTTTTAATCATCACCAAGTTATTGCCATGCACTAATATTTCAAGAGGGCAATGTTGCTGATAGATCTTGTAAAATGTTGAACATTATATTATTAGCGAGGGAATTAAATCAGAATTGTGTCAACTGATCTAGTCACTAGGTGAAAGAATATTATATTGTTGCACAGTCAACGCTTTCTGTTAAATTAAAAACGATATGAACACCAACTTAGTGAATTGTTGTTTAACCAATTTTCTGCTCAACTAAACTTGACGGATAGCTTCTTCATTAACCTCTTAGTTCCCAGTCTGAAACATTCATAAAGACAAGTGATATAGTAGTAAGTAAGTAAGTAAATAAGTTCTATATTTAGACACATTTCACCAGTGAGCCTGGGGCTCGTTTAAATTTCAACCTGTGTGCTAAAATTAAATGATATGATATTTCTGACTAGCTTTTAAGTCTGCACATGAATGAAACTCTAGGGTGTGATGATTCAAATAAAAGATGCACATTAAATCAAACCTGATGAGATGGAAAATGTCAATAAGAATATTTGGGGTAAAATTCAGGTGTTTCAGTAACAATTTCAGCAGCATGGCAACAGGTTTTCCCAGGCAGGCTAAACTTTTTGAAATGAACTTCATTATAAGAAAAACTTTCATCTAGATGTTCAAACCAGGTATGCAAAATCATCCTCACAGCCGGTCAATTTTCCCGGTGCCATGCCCTTAAAACCCCTGAAGATTTCGAGTGGTCTAATGGAAGCTACAAATGGACCAAAGTGATGTTCTGATCTTTCAAGTAATGTAAGCTCTTGATCTTTGTTCTGAATTTCCCTTCAAACTTAACAGTAAACTTTTTTGTACTGACTTGTATTAGAATGAATCAACAATATTTTTCCAAGGTTTACAATGATAGGCCATAGAATCACTGATTGTAGAGAGTAAAGGTTACAGAAATTTGTCATTTCTTGATCATTCACTTGAAGATTCAAAATACCCATTTAAATAATATATCACATACAAATCATTTACAGTACTAACATATAGCAATTTAATTCTAAAAAATAATTTTGTTTCGGCAGGTACAGATGTCAAGAACATTAAATTCAGAGAAGAGTGACAATTTAGATTCAAGTATCAAAAGTACACAGGAAAGTTTTCAAAGATCTTTAAGATCTTTCAAGGTATTACTATTCATAACAGTACTGTTAAAAGGAATGTATTGGAAGCAAATTTACATTTAATAATAATATCAAATTATAGCAAATTCTTATTTCTGATTGGTTTCCTGAATGCCAGA